TAGCAGATTAAGGCTTTCTAAAATTGCAGTTGCTTAAATTAATCATTAGTTAAAATAAAGACAATGCATTTTGCACTAAAAGAACTTACTTTTAGCCACCAACAATCCCAAACTGTCGACATTTTTTAAAAAATCAAAAAAATCCGATTTAAATTTTAAAAATCGATTTTTTGGATTTTTATTTTAAAAATAAAAAAAATCACCAACCCTGTGCTCATAATAAGAGGTAAGTCAATAGCCAAAAGAAAAGAAAGGGAACAGATAAGGAAAAAACAGCTTTGTTTGTCTTTGTAATGGCATGTGTAGTATTAGAATCGTACATGTTAGTGCCAAATTACTTACTGCATACGGCATTACCAAATGTTCTGACTCTATATAATAAACTTTTGCTTTGATAGTGATAAAGAATGGAAAAATAAAATATCAATCCAAAACAACACAAATCATGGAATTTGTTTGGTCCATTATTTTCAGGTGAATTTATTGGCAGCATATTTTGAATTAACCCCCAACCCCTCAGTTCTCTACTTTACTGTTGGATGGTGTTTTTGTATTTATTGGCATCCAATTCTGCACTTCACAGGACATATTTTGAACATGTACAGGGCTGTTACACCTTACTGAATCATTTTGTCAGTTTATTTTGAATGAAGCTACACCCGCGTTACTTTTCTTGTGTTCTGTGAAGTGATCTTTTCGGTTCTGTAATACTTTTCATGTAACTGTGCTTCCCTCACCTCTGCAGGAAATGCTGAACACGTACGGAGCTGTAGTGTGGGTAGACGACGGCTTCTACTTCACCGAGGGGAACCTTACCCTCAGTTTGGACCGGGCTCGTGCATCTGGCATCCAGGGCTGGCCCATCAAGTACCCAACTTCGTCTTTCACTCACCAAAAAATGTTTCAGTTCTTCAACACAGATCAAAAGCACTACTATTTCCAGGTAACTCAGTCACTGTTGTTTTTGTCCTTAGGCATGAATCATTTAAGTCCATAGACATGCTTACAAAAGAAAGGGGGAAAAAACTGATTTTTTTCAAAACTAGTTATGAGTCATACATGCTTTTGCTGCTTGATTGTTTGGAATTGATGGCCGGGATCTAAACAGACGTGATGTTTGGGGCGGGGTGGTGTCTTTTCCGTTTAACCTGTTATTTTTTGCTGCACTTGGTATGCCATTTTGGCACAGAAAGGTTTGCTGTACATGGATCGCCAATTCTCACAACAGGGTTTAATGGCTGTGCCCCTTACCAGATATTTTTCTTTCTCACTCCCAGCATCTGATAGAATCGTCTCACCTGATCCTGTACAACACAGAGCGATTGGCGCAGCGCGTCATGCTGCCCTGGGTCAAGTGTGCACTGCTGGAGGAGTGCATTAACCCGCCCGGTGCGCAAAACTCGGGCTGCAACTATGCCCGCCGGCCCTACTTCTTGTACAGTGGCTGCCATGGTTATGATATGTCAGCGCTCAACGTGCTGTTGGGCATGGCGTTCAGCATGGAGGAGTCCAGCTACACTGCGACCCAAGGGCTTTTCGGGAGTCTGCGAGAAGACAAGCTGCGTGCTGAGAACAAGACGCAGCTTTCTTATGAGGTCGGCATCGGAGTAGGGCTGAATATGAAAATGTAATATTTTTGTTATGTTATTAAGAGTTCCCAGCCTAGTTTTTTTATACGCATTTGTTTGCTTTTAAAGTATATATTATTGGGGGGGGTGGGGGGTTCTTGTTTTATTTTGCTTACGGTTAGACAAATGTTTTCATAATTATTAAGTATACCAGCCCTTTGAGCTCTGTTTCCAGGAGGCTTTTGGTTATTGAAAGGATTATGCCTTTTATTGTATCTTACCGCCTGTTTATGAAATTAGGTTGTCTTGAGAGACTTCAGTTTGGCTTAGAAATAACTATTTTCAGTCGGCTTGAAGGACCTTTCTAGCTTAACTCTTGTCCTGCATGTGTGCTGAGATGCGAATCTTATCAGCAACCTATTACGTCGGACATTCCGGGCAGGCCGCCGGGGTCACTCAGCGTGTACTGTTGGTGTACAGCGAGCGTGCCTGGAAACGTGTGTTTTCGCCATGAATACTGTGGGAGTGTGTTAATCGATGATGAAAATAACGCTCTATCTTTTATAACTTTCTAATTATAAAGTGTTACAAACACATGAATAACCCCCTCTCATAAGCTGACAAGACATTATGATTAGTTACGTTACGCCCATTCTAATAACCTTTTTAGGCAGACGCTCTTGTTGTTATGAATGATCTGGGGTTCGAAAGGGGATAATATAGGTCAATTTCCTAATGTTTTGCTCTCAAATTGTTCTTTTTACTTGCACAATGGTTTTCAAAACTATCAAACAAGCTTATTTTTTATCAGATAGTATCATGTCATACAAAATCAAGTTCGTTTGAAAGATTTTGTATGGAAAATGGAAGTCTTGTTTCCAGACTATTCTTTCGAGCTCCTCATGTCTAAGTTTATCAATTTGCTCTAATTTCATTGGACGAACATCTAGAGCTACCGACTTGGTGTGTTTTGAATAAGACATATGCCTCGGTTAGGAAACAACGCAGGTGGGTCTAGAGGTAGGCCACAAACGCACTCACACTCAAGGGTACTGATGCACACACACTTGAGCTGCGTGAATGCAGGTCCGATGCGGGACCGGAACGGAACGGGGATGATGCCCAGCGTGCGTGCGCTGAGCCAGGGGCCGGACTGACAGGGGACTGGAACACAGGCGAGGTAGCGGAATAGGCATATCGGGCAACATAAACCTGGCCCCTGCAGGCCCAGGGTTAAGATGGTTCATTTTTAAAATTGTTCAACAAGGGAAACTGTGAATTGTCAAGGTGGTTTTTTATCATTAAAAGGACTACTGCTCAGGCAACAGTCTTTTGTGTTTTTAAAACTTTTCTCCAAAATATTTGCTACCTGTCTTCTTCAACGATTAATTTTTGGGGGTTCCTATTTTGCACTCTGAGATTATATGATAAATTTGAAACCCATCTCGTCTGTCCCTGAGAACTCTTTGATTTTCTGCACCTTTCAAGCTGACAGATTCCAGTGATTAGTATTTTGAGCATTCGTCTTGTAAACCCTTTTTGTGAATTTTGTGACTATTTGAGAGGGGTTCAGTACATGTTTTTCTTTGTGGTTTTGGGGTGGGGGGGGGGGGGGGTGAAAGAATTTGCCTTGCTCAAAGGCTAAAACGGAGATGGGACTAACCGCTGAACCCGGCACTGTGGGGGCTATTTTTCTTGTAAACTTCATATTTGCCTGTGGTGTTTTTGTCAACATTCCCTATTGAGATAGCTCAATTGTCATGCCGTTTTTTTTTACCCGTGACCACACCTTGCTTTTGTTTTATTTAATTACTCTTATGCATTGCAGACTCATTGAAGCAATGGCCAGTACGCATCGTGCTTTCACAACGTAGATTTTCTTTAAAGTAGGATGCTGCCCCTGGGTTGTTGACTCGTTTGTTTAGCATACAGCGTGCTTTCTTGTTTGATTGTGGGCTCTTTGCTTGGATTTGATTTTTACTGTTGTCTTTGTCAAAGTACCGCTAAGAGAAAAAAGTTTTATGAAGATTTTATGAAGGAAATTAAGATGTCATTTGTTATTTTGACTGGAGTGTTTGTATGTCAGATAGGTTTTTTTTTGTTCTCTTCAGAGATCGCTCGAAGGGCGATTAGCTTTTTCTTTGAAAATCTTTAGACTTAACTCGGCAACAAGATCGCTTAGATACATAGTCACCAAAGTCATAATTTGGATATTATGCTCCCTATAGCAAGACATGTTTTCAGTAAATGAGTCATTTTCAAAGTCACATGTTGCTCTCCAGCTATTTTGATTGCGGGCACAATAATAGGCGCCTTACTGCTCTTAGTTGAGAGTGGCTCATGTCACTTTTTTGTGCTGACTTTTATCATGGGCCCTTTAGTTTTCCAGTGACGTGCTACCTCAATGGTTTTAAGTCAGCTGGCATAGTACAACATGCAATGGTAATGGCTTTTGTCAGTTATTATCATGGTACAAAATGCGACCCTAAAAACTTTAGTCAGATATCAGAGTAAATAAAGTGGAAAAACAGCGTAATTTCATATCTTTTTTTTTTTATGATAAGCATTTGCACCTCTAGTGGCCTAGTGATAGTAGACCGTTGTCCGAGGAATTTTTTGGTGGGCAATATGTTTGATTTTGGCCTTCACCTCACTGACTTCAGCACAGTAGCATGTTTTAACAAATTCATAGCCTGTGCTCTAGTGTATTTATGGTAAGTTTACCATGGTCTTAAAAATGTGTGTCGAGTGTTGCTGGTGTGATAATCTGGGGTGGACGAAGGAACTGGAACTTTCCTTGTAGTTTTCAGATCTATTTATGTTTTGTTTACTGGGCATAAGTGGATGTATGGTAGGAAAGATTCCATTTTCATTTTTATGTTTTGGCGCTGTGGAGAAAGCTGTGCTACTGGCACTGTAAGAATGAGAGAAAGGCTGTAAGATATTACATGTTTGCTTACCATTGTTTCTCATTTGTAGTGGAACTTAATCAAACGTGTCAATAGTAGGAAATGTCTCAGATTTGTAGGGCTTTTTGGACTTAAAGATATGCACACCAGGGGTGTGCTTGCCAGAGCTGTTTTCAAAAGTATGTTTCTGATGGGAAATTGCTGTTAAGTTATCCATTTGGATTTGGAATTGACATCTGTGCAAAATGACATTGGGGTGGGTATACTGGCACTTTTTGTGGTTTAAGGATTAGATGAGTGACATTGCTGACTCCTTCACCTGATGATAGAAATGGCTGTCTCGTCATTGCAGTGAATGTTTGCTGTAAGTTTTTAATTGGCAAGCTTTGATAACTTGAGCTCCATGCTATTCTGGTCTCCATTTTCGCTGTGGTCTGTTCAGTGTGTGAGTGCGCTGCTTCCATGTCACAGTAGCTGTGTGCCTGTGTGATGGCCGATTTTTTTCCCCTATGAGTGCAGAGTATTTAGCTTTGGTATCCAAGATGAAAATCTTGCCATGCATCTTGTGGATTGCTTTGTTTTATCTTCTATTTACGTCATACATGGTTTGTACTTGTATAAAAGTGTGAATGTTGCGAACGGTGGATAGTGTGGTGACTGTTGTGTTCTGGTACCTTAAGATATAGTGAGCAGAAGGGTTACATGTGATCTGTTTGATTTTTGTTTTGTTCTGGTTCTGTGTTGTAGATTGTGTGCCTATTGTCAGAAGGTTCTATGCATCGCCCATTAGGCTGTCATAGACTGAAGCTTTAATTCTGGGAAGGTCTTGAAGTACTGGGCTTTAGCTGGATGCTGGTCATCCAATGGGAAGATTTTTCCAGCTATGAAGTCGATATAGTAGGGCTGATAATTTTAAATTGTGCTGTCCTGGGAAATTTTCCAACTTGAAAATGAAAGGGGGATGCGTTGGTATGTGAATAATAAATTAAAGCTTCTCCAAAGGCGTTAGCTCTGCTCTTAAACGCTTTTATGGTTTTGCAGACAAGAAGGAAGAAAATGTAAGAATTTGACTCCCTATTCTTCCCCCTTTTGGTTGTAGGTTTAGGATTTTAACTTGAAATTATAATTAAGGGCTTTTTGAGACATTAGTCTCATTTATTGGGCCTGGGAACTCCTCTGGAATCGTTTCCTGTTTGATCTTCCAGCTTGCCACACCTTCAGAACTGGTTCCTTAAAAGCCACTAAGCCTGGCAAAGTCACGTTTTATGTCCAAAAGGCATGTCGTGGATTTCATTAAGTCAGAAAGTGTTTTGATTTCCTAAAGACTGACAAAAGTTATTGGCCAGTTCATTGCTTTAGAAGTTGAAGTATTTAAGTCACTGTGATTAGGATTGGAGTCAAGGAGGTGCCCGCTAGTGCTAGCTCAACTACGATGCTACATGACGAAGTTCTCAGTTCTACTTTCAGACCCTGTTAAAACAAAGATTTTTACCTTTGAGAAACTCTCCTATTGATGTAGAGTTGTACGCTAACTGTTCAGCTGGAATTTTTTCTGTCAAATATATCAGTGGCTCGGTTGAATTTTGAGAATAGCCTTGATACATTTCTAGGTTTCGGCACATGTTTCTTGAGTGCTGATCGGATACACAGGTGTTATTTACCCTATTATTGGGCTTAATGTGTTGGGTTGTGGAAGCAATTTTCTTGTTCGTAAGTGTGTTCTTGTCGGTCAATGTTGTCATTTAAGAATTAATTTTTGTCTACTGAGAATGGAGTTGGTATGCTAGTGTGGAATGTTACCCCCGTGACAAAGGCGCCTACTGTAATATTTTTGTGTGATGACCACACCACATTTGATATTTTTTGCTCACAGAACTTACTTCCATCATTAAAAAGTGTGTTCATTCTGTCTGTCTGTCTCTCTCTCTCTCTCTGTCTGTCTGTCTCTCTCTCTCTCTGTCTCTCTCTCTGTCTCTCTCTCTCTCTCTCTCTCT